TATTATTATTACATGAATTGGTCCATCGGACCGAAGTACTCATTCATGGTGGGTTTTATATTTTAATTTATGAATTGGTTTATGTCATATATCAACAATTATTCTTCCAATAAAATATTAATGATTTTGATTGATATTTTAATTTTAATTTTATTTCGTTGATTGTTACTTTTTTTTAGACGCAATTCCTTGATTGTTATTATTAATAATTCATATAAATTACGGTTATAACTTATAAAGTCAATCATATCTAATATCTACTGAAAGTGAAAAATAAAAGTGTAATATGTTTAAGAGTAGGTTTAGAATTAGCTTTGTTATTAACTATTTTTTTACTTTATAGATTATTTTTTGTTTTTAAAGTTATTTTTTCACCTATTTTAAATTTCTTTGTTTCTATATATTTGGAAAGAATGAATAATAAAGGACAAAATAATAATGAAACATTTTATGTATTATGTATAATTGTGAAAATTGAATTTATTTATACTAATAACAATTTTATCTTTTACTTTTTTTTAATCCCCAAAGGATCTTGAAATAAATCAAAATTATTAAAAAGTTAGAAATGCAAGAGTGGAAAAAGAGAGAGGATATTTTATATTTTTATAATCCTTTCAAATTACTTAAAAACTAATAGTTAAAATTATATTTATTATTTTCAACTAATTTAATGTTTAAAAGAGAAAAATAAAGTTAAAGTCTTTTCAGATTAATTGTTTGGATTATATTTGCATTGGTTAAATTCCAGATAGACTGATTCAGGTTGTTGATTTTTGATAATAATATCAACTCGAACTAGATATTTATATTCACATTATTAACTTTAACAACTCTTAACTAACTTTAATAACTCTTAACTATCAATAAAAATTTGAAAAAAAAACAAAGTGTTACTCTAGGTAGGTCTATTCCTAAAAATCAGAGCAAAATCTTGAATGAGAAGAGGAAGACGTCCTAAGAAGCTAGTATATGCAATTAATGCCAAAAGCAGCATGGCGAATATGAGAATCGGTGTCTGTGTGTTTTGGGTTGGGGGTTATCTTACCATCCTCTATAGTGACTGAAAGGCCTCATATAGCTTAGCGAGGTGAATGTACAGCTTGATTTTCCTGTATTCAGTTTCTTGCCTGCGACGTAGCTTTGGGTCTGAAGAAGCTGCACCCCCTTTCAGCTCATTTTGTCCAACTGTGCTTTCACCCCGAATGTAGGAGGAGAAAATGTCTACTGATCTGAACAACTTGATGTCTGTTGTGCCGGTAATTTTCGGCCCTTTCAAGTCCTTTATAGGAAAACAATTGAAGTGGTCACTTGAGGACTTTAAAAGTGTTTGTAAATCCACTGGATTTGCAACGGATGAAGTGACATGGTAGACAGTTAGTCCAGGTTTTCCAGTAAGTCCTTGCTTTGCCATGGCTGCCATTGAGGCATTCACAACCATGTCTACAGGAACCTACGTGAGACACAGCCCGTAGCCGTGAGTATAGCCAATATGGAACAATCAAACAGAAACCAAAACAAGTTAGATTCTTACGACATCTATCACTGTTTCAGGGTCCCCGATAAAGCCTGTGAGATGACCTTTCGCGTGACCAATTATGATTGGGTCTAGCATCCTATATAGCGTAAATACATACGGATATATATTTCAATTTTCATGTTGTAAAGTTTGAAAAATAACAAGTAATTATGTGATGAAGTAAATGAAAGAAGTCTTTAAAATTAATATGGAAGTCATATGGAGCTACCTGCTGCCCTCTATCCATCCAGGGAAAGGCTCCCTGAAGGTGCTCTCAATAATGCTAGGACGGATGATGACAACCGGAATATCTCCTCTCGTGCTGTTTATAAGCATTTCACCCATGGCCTTGGTGAAAGAGTACGTATTTTGCCATCCAAACGCTCTTGCCCTGTGATGATTGATTCGTATTCAACACAATTCCAAAAAAGATAGTATTAATTTTTCAAGCATGAACCAACTAACGTTATATTTGTTGGGTAAATGCGTCAAGGGACATTGGAAGAATATAATTACCTCTCCATGCCCAGCTCTTTCATCTTCTGGTTGCAGGGTATTTCAGTGCCAGAGAAAGATCTCTTCAAGTTCGAAGCCAGTTTTATTTCAGCCTTGATATCCAGCACTGGAATGCTTTCTTCTGCTTCTGCTACGCTCTGACCCTCACATAAAGGCCTCTCCAAGATTATCCCTTCCCTTTTTCCATGGACATATGCTGTAGAAGCAAGCTCCGTGAATTCAATTGCGCTGCATGGCTTTTCTTACTTGAATGAAAATTTTAGTTTAAATTGTTGGCTCTCATACCAGTTGAGAAATGCAAGAAAAGACTTAGTTTCTTGCACTTCTTTGCAAAGCCTAGGAGCCGATAAGGTCCCATGGTGTTTGTGTTGAGTGTAGCATCATACCTATATACGTGAATTACTTGAAATTTTATTAGTATGCGTAATTGCGAAACAATTAAAGTCTATAAATTTCAATGAAATGCTCAAATATATATATATATATATATATATAAAATTAAAGAACCTATCATCAAATGTTGTATTGGCTGCTGAATTCACAATTATATCAACTTCATTGGCAATCTCACTCGCCATATCAGCATCCATACCAAGATCAGGTTCATTGACATTCCCAACAACTGGAACCAGCTTACTCTTCATGAAAGTTTTATAGGAAGTTCCATGCACTTGTTCTAGAGACTTGAAAAGTTCTGTGTCCATGATCTGAAACAGATTAAAGACTTTGAGGTGGCGTTACACTTTGAGAATTTTAACTCAATTAAGTATATACGTAAGACTATGAGCGTGAGTCAAATTACATCCACTGAAACACATTAAACTACTACTCCATATATATGAAAAGGAATTTAGAAATATACTTGGTCGTGCAATCTCCTCGTAGCTGCTTCTTTATCTTTTCCCTTAATCAAAAGAAATATCTTCCCCACATTAGGCACTGCTCGCAGCATCTTCTCAACGAAAGCTGCAATTGTTAGTAACGAAACATGCAGGCATCAACGTTAGACGCACGCGCTGCCCTAGCTAGCCACATAATACGTGGTAAATTCTGGTTTTTTTATTTATTTTAGAAATAGGATGTCAAGTTCATTTCATATAATGGATAGCAGAGTGCAGATGAAACATGTTTGTCGTTGAGAGTGATGTATGAAGCCCAATATATATATGTATAAATTGTAGTAGCTTTTGGCCTAGGGACAACTATTTCTACTATATTTAGCATATCCAGGAAAAGATAAAAACACCTTTGCCTACAAACCCTGTTGCACCGGTGATGAAATAGTTCTTTCCCTGAAGGAAATCAACAATCCCAAGACCATCAGAGGATTCCATTAGAGGGACGGTGGTGGAGTTGGTGGTTGTTGAAATGGCGTCATCATGATCAACATTCTTCCCAGCAGCCCTGATTGCCAAAGCAGACTTGATATTCCTGCTGTTTTGGCAACTGCTGATGAACAAAGGAGATATATGGGTTTTGGGGTGTAAGCTGTTGGCAACGGTGCAGCCACTAGGTATTGCAGGGCTAGAAAGGGTCCACAAGGAACTTTGGAAGGAATACATTATGATGAGGAACTAATTCCTTTTAAAGAGCTTTGAGGCTTCAACTTCTCTGCAGCAACCTTTATTCAAACCAGGGAAAATCAAGGTACTTGCTGGTCGCAGTAGCCATAGGTACGGGCTTTTATATATATTGTTCTTCGAAATTAAAAT